TCCTTCCATCGCTGCTGATGCCATTCATCACTATGGACCTGTTAATGACTCTTGCAAAGGCTAAAGGAGTGTTACCGTGCTCTTGAGTGATTCACATAGCTCTGCCAACAGTAAGTACTGTTCTTCGATATTAGAGTGTGGTTCGGTTAGTTAGTGTAGACGTTGACAACCCTGAAGTATACGAAGCGTTTTTTTTTATTTACCCACAATAAAACAAGCAAACGTAAAAAAAAAAATAGTTCGTTACAATTGAAAACATTGAAGAAACCAACATACTGAATATTTCACGCAGTTATGGATGTACATCATCTTTAAACAAAAGAGAGATGTTTCACCTTGAAAAGTACCACTTCTGGTTCTGGAGAACAATGTTTGTTAAGCTCTATCTCTTTATCTGTTACTATAACCCCAGGCCAAACAAATTAACTTAGCCAAACAGCCAAATCAACAAATGTGAATTTCAAAATGATAAAAAATATAAAAAGTATGATGACAGTTTGAACATGATCTACTTATATATTCCTGGCCATTTTTTCATCCCAAATTTCTCCAAATTTACTTGCATGAATTCATTACTTCTTTGCCATAACAAAGAAAAGTATTGTTTTTAACACTGACATTGAGGAAATGGACCTATAAAAGATACTGAGACATATGCTTCCAAATGAGCTTTACTATACAATAACATCAACAAAAAGCAAGAAAGATTATACACTGATATCTCAACCACCACTAACCGCTACACCAACGCCAGCCCCGTAAGAGAAAGAAAATGGACACAGCTCTAAAATATCTACATCCTGATAGATAGCTGTCTTTATTTGAATAACCAACCCCCTCTTTAAACAAAAGGGCTAGTTACTCAACAGGTAGATGGTACAGAGTCTAAAATAATGCAGAGTTGTAATTGGTTTAAATCCACAACGACCTGGGGTAGCTATTGAGTGCATTATAGGTGGGTTGAAATCATCAGGCATCACTAACGCCACTCCTTTGGGGTCCTCTGTAGGACACTAGCACAGCAGACAAACCAATCCCGAGACCACAGAGCAGTGAGTGGCCCGCCTGCCTGCCTACAAGGCCCCAAGCCCTGGACTGCTACCAACCATGCAAAACTGAACAGAGTGACAGATGAAATCATGCAAAGCAGTTTGGTGGTTTTCTTCCCCCGGAACCGACACAGTTATGGAACCAGAGAGTTCACAGGAAATCAAAGCAGGATCCTTCCCATTCAGAAAGTTCTTTTGATTTTTGATTTTTTTTTAAATAACTTTTTCCCTTTTTTCCCTTCCTTCAATGGAAATCAAAATTCCAGTTGTTTCCATGTTCGTGAGAATCAAATCAAGATCTTGTTGCTGTTGATTTCTTTTTTACAAACTAGAAGTTTCCCAGTGAACCCCAGCAGAGCACTTGAGGGGAAATAAATTGGGCCTGTCCCTTCGATGACATCGCTGTTTGGCTGTAATTTGATTGGATGGCAGCTGCCAATGCGTCCCAGAGTGGGAGGATCCCACATAAAATGTCACAGATTTCATTACGAACCACAAGGTGGAAAAATATAGGACATTGTCATAACGAGTGGTGTGGGTGTGTATCCCCGGTGCTGTAGCCCCAATGAAGGGTCAATAGTCATCATACATGTTGAGGTCAGTGAAGTATGAATTGGTGTAAGTCTTCCCTGCTAGCTGGGGGTTGAAGTACTTATTTCTTTCCTCCAGAATCAGGTTGTTCTTATTGAAAGCCTGTGAGAGAGAGAGAGGGAGAGTGAGATGAGAGTGAGAGTGAGAGTGAGAGTGAGAGGAGAAGGAGAGAGAGAGAGAGAGAGAGAGAGAGAGAGAGAGAGGAGAGAGAGAGAGAGAGAAGCGAGTAGAGAAGCTCTTCACGGCATAGCGAGCTAGATCTCCAATCGCGCGAGCATTCCTCTGCCTCGCTCTAGCTGCGATCTCGCGTCTACATCTTCCGCTCTCTCTCTCTCTCTCGATATCCATGCATCGAGAGAGAGTATGTCAGTGTCAACTGTATTGAAACACCATGTTATATTGATGATTCAGTCTAAACGGCTAATGCAAACTAAAGCTAAACGGAATGTGTCTAACAGGAAAATAAACCTTGGAGCAACAACGGGAGGTCACTGCATGAATGAAGCATACCATCTCAAAGAACAAGGCCAAAACATTAACAAGAACAGCAGGCTAGCAACAATGATAACCACTGAAGAAGTACAGTATGTTATGGTGAGAAACCATAGTCTACTGATCTCATCTCTAATGTCTCCACATCAGCAGCTTTCATGGCTTCCACATCTCCACATCCTTGAGGACGCATTAAATACAGATATTGATCAAACAACAGAACGTGAACGCCTGTGAGTGATTCATCAAGTCAGAAAATAAGGAAGCACCACTGGGTATCTCTGTTCTGTCCTTCTCTATGGTTCTGTGAAGGTACCATGTGGTTCTGTGAAAGTACCCTGTGGTTCTGTGAAGATACCGTGTGGTTCTATGAAGATACCGTGTGGTTCTGTGAAGATACCGTATGGTTCTGTGAAGATACCGTACGGTTCTGTGAGTTCAGAACACTGAGCTCAGTACAACCTCAGCCGGTTGCTTAATTGAGGTGCGTCCCACTGTCTTATAAACTTGGTTAAGTGAAGGGATGTGACAATACCATATATTATTTTCTAACTCTTTGGTCCGTTAAAAACCTGCTGTATGTGTGTGTGTTGTGTGCTGTAGCTTGGAAAATAAATAAATGTGACTCTAGATGACAACATAATGATGTTTGTTTCCAACATTAGGGCTGTTTTCCTAAAGAAGTTAGATCCGCTTTGTGTTTTGTTTATTTGCCATGCTACTAATGAGTATCGTGATACTGGTATCGTCCCGGCCCTAGCTAAATCTATATTTGAAAGCCCCTGTAGCCGGCTTAATTCAGCAGTTGATGATGCTGCGTTTGTTCTTGATTGATGGATCCGTATATGAACTCATGGGGTATGTGAGTGCTGAGCACAAGCACATATCATATTATTCTGTCCCCATTACATTTACATGGCTTGCATAGAGAGACTGACAAACAGAACTAAATGATCAAATAATGTGTTATTGGTTGAGTCTAAAAGTACATTTCCATGTCTTAAATGGAATAAACTACCCATTTTTATTCACCTTTATTTCTTAAAAGTCTAAATCAGTCTAAAACAGTAATAACTTGTATCTCCTAGTGGCCCCATGCCTGCAGTCAACCATTAACCAGCTGTTCTCAGACTTCATCTAATCTGACTTTCTAGTGTTTTTAGTGAGGTAAACAAAATCTGTTGAACAGCGGGGTGGCATTAGAGAGAAAGCAGACAGCTATGGAGAAAACTAAATGAGTTACAACAAGTTCACTTTCTCCATGGTAACCCATCATTAGAAAGACAAACAGAGCTAATAAGACAGGAAAAGACAGGGGAAAGACAGGGAAAGACAGGGGAAGACAGGGGAAAGACAGGGGAAGACAGGGAAAGACAGGGAAAGACAGGGAAAGACAGGGAAAGACAGGGAAAAACAGGAAAAGACAGGGGAAAGACAGGGGAAAGACAGGGGAAAGAGAGGGAAAGACAGGGGAAGACAGGGGGAAAGACAGGGAAAGACAGGGGAAGACAGGGGAAAGACAGGGGAAAGACAGGGAAAGACAGGAAAAGACAGGAAAAGACAGGGGAAGACAGGGGAAAGACAGGAAAAGACAGGGAAAGACAGGGACAGACAGGGAAAGACAGGAAAGACAGGGAAAAGACAGAAAAAGGACAGGGGAAAGACATTGGGAAAAGACAGGGGAAATAGAAGAGGAAAGACAGGGGAAGACAGGGGAAAGACAGGGGAAATACAGGAAAAAGACAGGGGAAAGACAGGAAAAGACAGGAAAGAGACAGGGGAAGACAGGAAGACAGGGGAAAGAAAGGGAAGGACCTGGGTGAAAGGGACAGGGGAAAGACTTGGGGCAAGACAGGAAAGACAGGGGAAGAACGGGAAGCAGGGAAAGACAGGAAAAGACAGGGGAAAGACAGGAAAAGACAGGGGAAGACAGGGGAAAGACAGGAAAAGACAGGAAAAGACAGGAAAAGAAGGGGAAAGACAGGAAAAGACAGGGGAAAGAAAGGGGAAGAAAGGGGAAAGACAGGAAAAGACAGGGGAAAGACAGGAAAAGACAGGGGAAAGACAGGAAAAGACAGGGGAAAGACAGGAAAAGACAGGGGAAAGACAGGGAAAGGGATAAAAGAGAAAAACAAACACATAAAAATGAAAGGTGTAAGAACATGGCGGACGTTTCAGAACGGAAAGAGATGAGTGGAAAATACACTGCCTTCTCAGAAGCCTATGGGTTATCCTATGGCAGGGGTAGACAACCCCGGTTGTCAGGAGCCACAATGTCTGCTGGTTTTCATTATTTCCTTCAGATCCAAACCTGGGAGACCAGCTGATCCAGACCTGGGAGACCAGCTGATCCAGACCTGGGAGACCAGCTGATCCAGACCTGGGAGACCAGCTGATCCAGACCTGGAAGACCAGCTGATCCAGACCTGGGAGACCAGGCGAGTGCACTCTCTGATCAATCAACCAATTGATCAACATGAATGGATCAATTAAAAGCCTGAACAAAGTGAAGCACCATAGACGAGGGATGACCTATCCCTAAAAGCACCAAAGCTACTGACTAACTGACTGACCAAGTGCCAGAGAGAGAAGAGAACACCAGCAGACATTACGGCTCTCGAGGACCGCAGTTGCCTTCCCCTTGCCCTATGGGATGAGTATGAAAGAATGGGATTTCCAAGCAATGAGAGATAAAACTTAGTCTACCCCGACCTGACGCACACAGGAAGCACCACAGGAATTGGGGGCGCGGTGGAGAGGAAGAGGAAGTGGAAGGAGGTTGTTGATAGGCTAGGAGTAGGGTCAAGAGGCGGGATGTTGTAGAGGTCAGAGGTCAGCAGAAAGTTAGTAGAAAATCTCCAAGCCACGCATGGACACGCCCATGTTAGCAGACAGAGGCTGGCGCATGCCGGGGTCGTCCAGGGTCAAGAGTACGGACACATCGGGCTGCGGGAGGAGAGGAACGGGTAACAGTCATCCTCACTGGAGCCACAATGGATGACTAAGTTCTACTGTTACCCAGGGGACCACATGCTCATCCATAAGGTTGGACACACTACTGCGTCATTCAAAAGGGACAATCTTTCAGCTACACTCACTGCCTTTGTCTCAATGGCACTCATCTTTCAGAGCTCACCTAAATTATGAAGATGTTATTTTTTAATCAAACACAAAGAACAAAGCTTTAGGAACTATAGTGCCAGGTGCTCGTCTTTCTCCTACATTACATAATACAATTACAGAATCATTCATTTCACTTTTAAAATATGTATATTCAACAGTACAACCCAGCCATTAAACAAGAGTCAACACTGAGGCAGAATACTCCTTAGAAAATAAAGACTAGATTAATTTTTCAAATGGCTCTTTTGGAGTTTTCACTTTAGCCAAACAAGCATTGTCCATATTCATACTATCCTCTAGCCATAGCTGCAAACTGGATTCTACTCACACACCAGACACTAATTACATGATAGATGGACACTACTCAAATCTTTATTCTGCTATGAAAACTGCATTCCAAGACATTAGTTGTGCACCAGAGAATACATTCACTTTAGACGGTGTGTCTGTTCAGTAATTTATAGAAGATGGATACTCTTCTGAAAGCTAGCTCTCTGTCCACACTCGATAGGCTAACTCGATAAGGTAACTCGTATAAAATATACTTCTTAACCTACTGACTTTCCAAACCAAGCCTTGTGTCAACAGAAATGTGGTCAGAGAAAATATAACTAATATTATTGATGTGTTATTTATTTAAACCAGGATGTTCCTACTGTTATTGAAGACAAAGACCTGGAACCTACTCACCCCATATTTGTCACCTACAGTATGTACATTGTGATGTATTTTGTTAGTAACTTATGAGAAAGCAGTGTACGTCTAAATGGCTATATAAACAGAACAGTGCAGTCACACAGAGTAGACGCAGGACCACACACACACACAAGTACAGAAGAGCTACAGTACTATACACCAGCCCAGGGGTTTACAGTACTATAGACCAGCCCAGGGGTTTACAGTACTATAGACCAGCCCAGGGGTTTACAGTACTATACACCAGCCCAGGGGTTTACAGTACTATAGACCAGCCCAGGGGTTTACAGTACTATAGACCAGCCCAGGGGTTTACAGTACTATAGACCAGCCCAGGGGTTTACAGTACTATGGACCAGCCCAGGGGTACTATAGACCAGCCCAGGGGTTTACAGCACTATAGACCAGCCCAGGGGTTTACAGTACTATAGACCAGCCCAGGGGTTTACAGTACTATAGACCAGCCCAGGGCTACAATAGACTAGCCCACAGGTTTACAGTACTATACACCAGCCCAGGGGTTTACAGTACTATACACCAGCCCAGGGGTTTACAGTACTATAGACCAGCCCAGGGGTACTATAGATCAGCCCAGGGGTTTACAGCACTATAGACCAGCCCAGGGGTTTACAGTACTATAGACCAGCCCAGGGGTTTACAGTATATATAGACAGCCCAGGGGTTACAGTACTATTAGACCAGCCCAGGGGTTTACCGTGCTATATAGACCAGCCCAGGGGTACTATAGCCCAGCCCAGGGGTTGACGAGTACTATAGACCAGCCCAGGGGTTTACAGTACTATGGACCAAGCCCAGGGGTACGTACTATGGACCAGCCCATGGGTTATTAGACCAGCCCAGGGGTTCTACAGTACATGGCCAAGCCCAGGGGTACTATAGACCAGCCCAGGGGTTTACAGTACTATAGACCAGCACAGGGATTTACAGTACTATGGACCAGGCCCAAGGTCTTTACAGTACTATAGACCAAGCCCAGGGGTTTACAGTACTATGGGACCAGCCCAGGGGTTTTACAGTACTATGGACCCGCCCAGGGGTACTATAGACCAGCCAGGGGTTTACAGTACTATAGACCAGCCCAGGGGTTTACAGTACTATAGACCAGCCCAGGGGTTTACAGTACTATAGATCAGCCCAGGGGTTTACAGTACTATGGACCAGCCCAGGGGTACTATAGACCAGCCCAGGGGTTTACAGTACTATAGACCAGCCCAGGGGTTTACAGTACTATAGACCAGCCCAGGGGTTTACAGTACTATGGACCAGCCCAGGGGTTTACAGTACTATAGACCAGCCCAGGGGTTTACAGTACTATAGACCAGCCCAGGGGTTTACAGTACTATAGACCAGCCCAGGGGTTTACAGTACTATAGACCAGCTCAGGGGTTTACAGTACTATAGACCAGCCCAGGGGTATACAGTACTATAGACCAGCCCAGGGGTTTACAGTACTATATACCAGCCATGGGGTACTATAGACCAGCCCAGGGGTTTACAGTACTATGGACCAGCCCAGGGGTACTATAGACCAGCCCAGGGGTTTACAGTACTCTAGACCAGCCCAGGGGTTTACAGTACTATAGACCAGCCCAGGGCTACAATAGACTAGCCCACAGGTTTACAGTACTATAGACCAGCCCAGGGGTTTACAGTACTATAGACCAGCTCAGGGGTTTACAGTACTATAAACCAGCCCAGGGGTATACAGTACTATAGACCAGCCCAGGGGTTTACAGTACTATATACCAGCCATGGGGTTTACAGTACTGTGGACCAGCCCAGGGGTACTATAGACCAGCCCAGGGGTTTACAGTACTATAGACCAGCCCAGGGCTACAATAGACTAGCCCACAGGTTTACAGTACTATAGACCAGCCCAGGGGTTTACAGTACTATAGACCAGCCCAGGGGTTTACAGTAATATACACCAGCCCAGGGGTTTACAGTACTATAGACCAGCCCAGGAGTTTACAGTACTATAGACCAGCCCAGGGGTTTACAGTACTATAGACCAGCCCAGGGGTTTACAGTACTATACACCAGCCCAGGGGTTTACAGTACTATAGACCAGCCCAGGAGTTTACAGTATTATAGAACAGCCCAGGGGTTTACAGTACTATAGACCAGCCCAGGGGTTTACAGTACTATAGACCAGCCCAGGAGTTTACAGTACTATAGACCAGCCCAGGGGTTTACAGTACTATAGACCCTGGGCTGGTCTATAGTACAGTAGGCGAGCCTGGAAGATCCTAGACGGCCACAGAGTGCGCTAGTATACAAACCTTAATGGCTTCCACGGAGTCGTATTTGTCCAGTTTGTTGATGTGGTTGGTGATGGAGGTGTTGAGTGGTGTTGCTGAGATGGGGTGGATGACCGTAGCTTCGTGAGACTGCTGCTGGTAGCGCTGGCAGTAGGTGTACACCAGTAAGGTGACCAAACATCCCAGGATAGAACTACTCAGGCCGACAGCGATCATATGGAACAGGTTGAAATCTGAAGAAGGGAAAAAGAGAGAATGCTTTAAATGATAAAAAATGTATGTAACACATTTTGGGGGTAAAAATGAACAGTCTGCACAAAGACTGGTGTCACATTCGTAACTGTGAATGAGCTCATAAATTGATACCAAAAAAATATATCTACACAGTACATGAAATATCACACTACATTATCACACTATCACATTACATTGTTACACCACAATATCACACTACATTACCACACTATCACATTATAATATAACACCACATTATCACACTATCACATTACATTATCACACTACATTATCACACCACATTACCACAATGTCACACTACATTATTGAACAGCATTATCACAGTACGTTATCACACCAACACACAGCACTATCACACTACATTATCACACAACATTATCACATTGCATTATCACAATAGCACGCTACATTATCACACTATCACACTACATTATCGCACCAACACACAGTACTATCACACTACATTATCACACTATCACGCTACAGTATTACACCAACACACAGCACTCACACCACATTATCACACTATTACACTGCATTATCACAATACATTATCACACCATCACACTACAGTATCACACTATCACACTAAATTATTGCACTACATTATCACACTGCATTATTACACCACATTATTGGACTACATTATCACACCAGCACATTAAACACATACGCACTCATACCTCCGCATCTTCTCTCCTCCTGACTCGAACGTGCGATAGAGACTTCTTTAAAAGAGAAGAGAAGAAGAGATGATGAACAGAAGCACAGACTTGTTACCCTGAAAAACAGGATAGATATGAGGAAAGTGTGTGAGCATTATATTGAGACTGAACCAGAGGATGATAAAGCCCATCACTAGGCACCTGAAGAGGCTTATGATAAGTAGCGAATGATAAGTAGCGAATGATAAGTAGCGAATGATAAGTAGCGAATGATAAGTAGCGAATGATAAGTAGTGTATCAGGCCGCATTAAGGGAAATTAAGTACACAACTCTTCTAATGACCCGGTCAATAAGGGAGATCCCTTTCTGGACACACATCAAGGGGGGCCAGTATGAAAATGTATACACTCACTAACTGTAAGTCGCTCTGGATAAGAGCGTCTGCTAAATGACTAAAATGTAAAATGTAATGGAGTGGCAAACTCATTACCATTCCCATTTCATTACCATTACCATTACCATTACCATTACCATTACCATTAAAACAGATTAGTGATAAGGAGCTAGACACACACTGGTGTTTCAGAAAAATAAAGTGAACTCACACTTATCCCCTAGTATAGACTACTGTCATAACACTGGAGTACACTTATCCCCTAGTATAGACTACTGTCATAACACTGGAGTACACTTATCCCCTAGTATAGACTACTGTCATACATTACAAAGGGAAGGATGAGACAGTTTTGAAGAAGTTCTAATGTTTTATTATCTATGGGTTGCTAAGTGTTAGTTAGTTCAAAGTGTCAATTGATACTATGTGGAAGACATCAACGTGGAAGACATCAACGTGGAAGACGTCAAGGTGTAAGACGTCAAGGTGTAAGACATCAAGGTGTAAGACGTCAAGGTGTAAGACGTCAAGGTGGAAGACATCAAGGTGTGTGTGTGTGTGTTTGATTGAGCCTCTCAGAACTCAGAGAGAGAGTAAGAGGTCTACTTATCCAGTGGTTTAGTAGAAATCAATGTTCTGGTGCATCTCACATTACACCCTGTCCATAAGGGAGATCCCTGTCTGGACACACTTCAATACTATTTGGGCTGTGTATTCATGCATAAATGTGTGCATTTGTTTGTATGTGTGTGTGTATTCTATTACCCGGTATAAAGTTGGAGTCAGGTGGGCAGGTCCTGGTCTCAGTGTGGTTTCCTGAACATTGGTTTCCAGTAGGGAACAGGACGTCACAGTGTCGAACACGCAGCTGGGAGCCAGAACTGTCACACTGGGACCACTGGGACCAGTTAGACCAACTCTCTGGAGACAAAACATAACCATACTATTAACTGGACTGCTGTGTACACAAGAGACACATTCTTATGAACGTTGAATGGCAGTAAAGTGTGTTTCTAACAGACAGAGAGAAAAAAACAACTGGCAATGATGAGTTGTCAGGAGCACTAGTTGTCAGGAGGACTAGTAGACAGGAGAACTAGTTGTCAGGAGAACTAGTTGTCAGGAGAACTAGTAGACAGACAGAAAAGAAAACAGGTGGCATGTGATGTGTGTGTGTGAGAGTGGTGTGTGTGTGTACTTGGACATGGTTATGTGTTACAGAGAGCCTCCTCAGTGTGTAGTCTGCGTGTGTGTGTGTGTTTGTGTGTGTACCTGGACATGATTGTATGTTACAGAGAGCCTCCTCAGTGTGTAGTCCCAGACAGATATCTCCTCCGTAGGCTGGTGGGGGGTTGTTGCAGGTCCGCGTCCTCATATAGTGTCCCCCTCCACACGTCACTGAACACTTAGACCAGCCAGACCAGCACGACCAGCTACCGTCCACTACACAGGAGGAGAGAGAGGGAGACATGTGTTGTAGAGAACAAAAGAGTGGTGTATGCATGTGTGTATATCTACGTAAGTGTGTATGTGTACCCATGTGTGTGTGTTTTCCTGTAAGTGGCGTGTGTTCATGGTTGCCAAGGGAATTCAGGCTTCCCCAAAAATTTACCAAGAAAATAAAAAACAAATATATATATATACAGTACCAGTCAAAAGTTTGGACACACCTACTCACCCGACCTCAACTCAGTTGAGATGGTTTGGAATGAGTTGGACCGCAGAGTGAAGGAAAAGCAGCCAACAAGTGCTTAGCATATGTGGGAACTCCTTCAAGACTGTTGGAAAAGCATTCCAGGTGAAGCTGGTTGAGAGAATGCCAAGAGTGTGGAGAGCTATCATCAAGACAAAGGGTGGCTACTTTTGAAGAATCTCAAATAAATTTTTTTATTTTTATTTGTTTAACACCTTTTTGGTTACTGAAATGATTCCATATGTGTTATTTCATAGTTTTGATGGCTTCACTATCATTCTACAATGTAGAAAATCGCAAAAATAAAGAAAATCCTGGAATGAGTAGGTGTGTCCAAACTTTTGACTGGTACTGTATATAAATACTTTTTTTAGTCACTCTGTGTTTCAGAATTTTCTTTCAATTTGCAAGTGGCTGAATGTATGTCACCGGAGAAAGCATCAGAGCAAGCGAAACAGCGCCCCTCTGTCTCTGTATGTGTAGGCCATCTATCTGATGCTGTGTGGTCAAAAAGAGTATGACATTGTTGCCGCCCATAGTATTGAATGCAAGGGAAGCCAGCGAGCATTTGGCCTCCCTTGATAAAAAAAAAATCTAATAATAGCCAATCAGCGTTGAGCTAAACTGAGTGAGCTCAACAGTGAATGGTCCTGGCGCACCAAAAACAAGTGTCAAGGGAAGCCAGTTTGTATTTGCTGTCACTCCTATAAAATCGCATTGAGAGCATACATCATTGACAGAAACAACTTGAATTGTTGCATCTCGTTGTGTTGTTGTCCTCCGGTGGCTAGCTAGCTAGCTAAAATCGTCCCTTTCCTAAATTAGCCATGGATGGAGATAGGGATTTGGACTTGTGGTTTTACTTAATTCTCCTTACTGGACAATGGTTATAACGGCAATTCTGATCCAACCATTAATTCATACATTGTGCCCATGGCTTGAGACGATGGAAGTTCAATATGTAGCTACAGTGGGGAGAACAAGTATTTGATACACTGCCGATTTTGCAGGTTTTCCTACTTACAAAGCATGTAGAGGTCTGTAATTTTTATCATAGGTACACTTCAACTGTGAGAGACGGAATCTAAAACAAAAATCCAGAAAATCACATTGTATGATTTTTAAGTAATTAATTTGCATTTTATTGCATGACATAAGTATTTGATCACCTACCAACCAGTAAGAATTCCGGCTCTCACAGACCTGTTAGTTTTTCTTTAAGAAGCCCTCCTGTTCTCCACTCATTACCTGTATTAACTGCACCTGTTTGAACTTGTTACCTGTATAAAAGACACCTGTCCACACACTCAATCAAACAGACTCCAACCTCTCCACAATGGCCAAGACCAGAGAGCTGTGTAAGGACATCAGGGATACAATTGTAGACCTGCACAAGGCCGGGATGGGCTACAGGACAATAGGCAAGCAGCTTGGTGAGAAGGCAACAACTGTTGGCGCAATTATTAGAAAATGGAAGAAGTTCAAGATGACGGTCAATCACCCTCGGTCTGGGGCTCCATGCAAGATCTCACCTCGTGGGGAATCAATGATCATGAGGAAGGTGAGGGATCAGCCCAGAACTACACGGCAGGACCTGGTCAATGACCTGAAGAGAGCTGGGACCACAGTCTCAAAGAAAACCATTAGTAACACACTACGCCGTCATGGATTAAAATCCTGCAGCGCACGCAAGGTCCCCCTGCTCAAGCCAGCGCATGTCCAGGCCCGTCTGAAGTTTGCCAATGACCATCTGGATGATCCAGAGGAGGAATGGGAGAAGGTCATGTGGTCTGATGAGACAAAAATAGAGCTTTTTGGTCTAAACTCCACTCGCCGTGTTTGGAGGAAGAAGAAGGATGAGTACAACCCCAAGAACAATATCCCAACTGTGAAGCATGGAGGTGGAAACATAATTCTTTGGGGATGCTTTTCTGCAAAGGGGACAGGACGACTGCACCGTATTGAGGGGAGGATGGATGGGGCCATGTATCGCAAGATCTTGGCCAACAACCTCCTTCCCTCAGTAAGAGCATTGAAGATGGGTCGTGGTTGGGTCTTCCAGCATGACAATGACCCGAAACACACAGCCAACTAAGGAGTGGCTCCGTAAGGAGCATCTCAAGGTCCTGGAGTGGCCTAGCCAGTCTCCAGACCTGAACCCAATAGAAAATCTTTGGAGGGAGCTGAAAGTCTGTATTGCCCAGCGACAGCCCCGAAACCTGAAGGATCTGGAGAAGGTCTGTATGGAGGAGTGGGCCAAAATCCCTGCTGCAGTGTGTGCAAACCTGGTCAAGACCTACAGGAAACGTATGATCTCTGTAATTGCAAACAAAGGTTTCTGTACCAAATATTAAGTTCTGCTTTTCTGATGTATCAAATACTTATGTCATGCAATAAAATGCAAATTAATTACTTAAAAATCATACAATGTGATTTTCTGGATTTTTGTTTTAGATTCCGTCTCTCACAGTTGAAGTGTACCTATGATAAAAATTACAGACCTCTACATGCTTTGTAAGTAGGAAAACCTGCAAAACTGGCAGTGTATCAAATACTTGTTCTCCCCACTGTAGATGTAGAAGGTCAATGTTAACTAGCTAACGTTGCCCATGAAAGGAAGTTAGGCTAGCGAGCAATCATTTTAGCCAGGTAGCCTAGGACAACAACAAAAATTAAAGCGTGTACTGTATGACAGAGTGATAGACCATTCTGTCAACATGAAAGAGAGGAGGATGGCATTGGCGTTTCTCTACAAGTAGGGTGAGTCAACATGTTTTTCTACTTGCAAGAATGCGCACACACAACCAGAAATCAGAACCATGGACAGCCACAGCATATTTAGCTTACGTTGATTGGACTAAATAGTTTTTGGTATCTTTTAGTTGTTGTTGTATTAGACTAAGCATAGGTGATTTGATGATGTTGAAATGTTGAAGTTGAAATGGTGCTGGAATAGTGGAGGCAGGTCCTGTTTTCTTTGCGACTTGCGGTAACTCTCCATGGTTCTAAATCTATAGTTTAGTGGTCCGAAAAGGTCGGAAACATTAACTTGCTTGACCACACTGTAGGTTGTATAAATGTTTGTTACATGCAATATGCTTTGTGGACTTCACCGGACAGAGGTTGCTCTCCGGTTTTGTGATGAAACAAAGGTGTGGTTGAATTTATTCTGCCACTGTCTCCTTATTGCCTCGGCCTTAGGCCTATATATCACGGTGTCAAGGCATATAAACTAACAGGTTATAGAAGCACACAACGCAATTACCACAACTCAAAGGTTGTAATATGGCTTTTTTTTCTTCCAGTGATTTTACCCACACACCCACAGGAGAGGAGGGGAGGAGAGGGGAGGAGGGGGAGGAGGGGGGGAGGAAAGGAGATGGGAGGGAGGAGGGAGGACAGGAGAGTATGGAGGGAGGGTGTAGGATGGGGTGGGGGGGGGGGGGGTGGGGGGTCAGAAGGGGGTTGTTTTAGCAGCTGGATTAAACAAATCCTGCTAGCTGTCACATCTGAAATAGATACACACACGCACACGCACACGCACACACAGACACACAGACGTCCTCATGCTTATTAAAACCAGTTTAAACATGGTAACATAAAACGCCACCAGGAATCAAACAAGAGACCAAACAGAAAATCGAACACAACCTTTCAGAATACTGTAACGTCTCGGCAACAGGGCAAGTACAAACTCTCATTGTGCTGTTCTGTCTTTGTCCAAGAACTGTAACGTCTAAACGACATGTCAGGATAAGAAAAAAACTCTCATTGTGCTGTTCTGTCTTTGTCCAAGAACTGTAACGTCTCAAACGACATGTCAGGATAAGAAAAAACTCTCATTGTGCTGTTCTGTCTTTGTCCAAGAACCTCCCCAAAAAATGAGGGTCTCTCAGCAATCACTGGGAACAAAATCTTTTGACTGATGAGAATAGTCTATTTTCAGGACCATTTCAGAATTGTTTTTAAACAGCTGTGTGGTAATTGAAGTTCGCCCTGGTTTTTGTAATCTCTGTGTAATTTCTCTATCGTAAACTGACACATTAGTCGATTCCTGCCTGCGCATGACGGATAGTCTCATCTCGACCGGCCGCCGCGGAAAACCAGGAAAGATTCATTTGTTTCAAAACCAGACGGATGTCAGACATAACAACTTTTATTTCTATGCAGTGAGAGAGAGGAGACTCCGTGACGAGAGAACGAGAAGAGAGATGAGATAGAGAGTAGAGAGCGAGAGAGCGAGAGCGGAGAGACGCTACGAGGGAGTCGGGAGACGCGAGAGAGAGCGAAGATATCTCTCTCTCTCTCTCTTATCTCTATCTGTCTCACTCCTCCCTTGGCTCTCTCTCGCTCTCTCCCCTCTAACGCTCTCTCTCTTTCCCTCCACTCTCTCTCTCTCTCTCCCTCCCTCCCTCTCTCGCTCTCTTGCTCACTCCCTGCCTCCCTCTCTCCCTCCCTTTCTCTCGCTCCTCTCTCTCGCTCTCTCCGGATGGATTATGTCAATCCCCACAGATGAGTACTAATTTAACTGAATTACTATTCATGATTATTCACGCAATACAAAGTCGCAGCTTTCCAGTGAAATCTCTTTGACTCAGGTGACTTAATAAGCCTCCACTGTCTACATCAATAGACCTGGGTGGTGATTGCTGCTCTTGCATTTCAGGCCCTCAGAATAGCTGCATGTTTGGTTAGTTAGCTTAGAGATGTCTATAGTAAAGTTGAATTTGAAATCTTTACAAACAGCATTCCATCCTTGATGACATTTCTAAGGGCTGTCAATTTAATCTGAATCAAAATGTAGAATACACCAGCATACAGCACTGAAAATTGAAAACCTTTTGAGAACCCTTTGAAAAATGCTTTGAAGGCTGTGGTGTCTTATCCTGAAATAACCCCACAGTTCACTCCAGGTTAGTGAGTGTTTGAGGGCAAAGCTAAGAGCTAGCTAGCATTAGCGGCCAAACCGTCAAGGTAACTGGGATGATGGATCATGACGAGACAGACCCCATTCATAGCCTCATGACGAGACAGACCCCATTCATAGCCTCATGACGAGACAGACCCCATTCATAACCTCATGACGAGACAGATTCCATTCATAGCCTCATGACGAGACAGACCCCATTCATAACCTCATGACGAGACAGACCCCATTCATAACCTCATGACGAGACAGACCCCATTAATAGCCTCATGATGAGACAGACCCCATTCATAACCTCATGATGAGACAGACCCCATTCATAGCCTCATGACGAGACAGACCCCATTAATAGCCTCATGACGAGACAGACCCCATTCATAGCCTCATGACGAGACAGACCCCATTCATAGCCTCATGACGAGACAGACCCCATTCATAACCTCATGACGAGACAGACCCCATTCATAACCTCATGACGAGACAGACCCCATTCATAACCTCATGACGAGACATACCCCATTCATAGCCTCATGACGAGACAGACCCCATTCATAGCCTCATGACGAGACAGACCCCATTCATAGCCTCATGACGAGACAGACCCCATTCATAACCTCATGACGAGACAGATTCCATTCATAGCCTCATGACGAGACAGACCCCATTCATAACCTCATGATGAGACAGACCCCATTCATAGCCTCATGACGAGACAGACAGGTACTCTCCAGTTAATAAATAAACAGCTAAAATCACAGCTTTGGCTCTGTGTTGTGCGGCTGGTCTTTAAAGTACATATGATGATGGATAGCCGTTGTTGAGGGCGGTCTCTAGACACGGGCTGGGCTGTTAGCGAGATGCTAACGTAGCACTCCTTTCAAAACAGCCTGATGATTATTAATGATTTGAAACAAACTCCTGGTTGTATGTGTGTGTCTGGTGTGTGTGTGTGTGTGTGTGTGTGTGTGTGTGTGCGTGTGTTTGTGTGTGTGTTTGATGCCAGGTGTTCTCTTTAAGAAGCTAAACAGGAGGATTTCCATTTAGACAGCACATTACCTTCCGGCACTATGAACACTCATTTAATTAAAATGCATCCTTTCCTTTCCCCTTCAGGTAGAACACTGGAGAAACAGACGCGTTGTCTTTGGCTTTTCACAACAGAATATGAGACACACACACACAAACTCACAAACAAATGCATGCAAGAGCGCAAGCAAATGTTCATGCACACACTCAGGCAGCCACACACACACACACACACGGCTCTCTGTAGCTAGCGGTATAATTGCCCTGAAATGTAATTACAGTCTAAGATGCTGTGGGGATTATGTCTCTGAATCTAGCTGTAAATTGGGGTGTTCTTCACGCCTCCTGATGTGTTATGTTATTATACTCATGATGAGGATATTTCTTTATTCATGACATGGATGTCCTATATCATTCATGGCAAAAATTAGAAAGATTAATCTATTTCTTTCACTGAAGCTTTCTTAAGTTATCACCTGTTTTATAGGGTTGTGTGTGTAGGTGTAGGTGTATCTCGCCATGAACACAGTCATGTTTTGTGTGTGTGTGTGTGTGTGTGTATATGTTTAGGTGTGTGTGTGTATGTTTAGGTGTGTGTGTGTATGATCAGGTGTGTGTGTGTGTGTGTGTGTGTGTGTGTGTGTTCAGGGGTATGCATCTCTCTATCTCACCTGGGCAAGGTGTGACGTTACACTCCTGGTACTCCTGAGCAGGTCCCAGGCAGGTCTGTCCCCCGTGGCGTGGTTCAGGGGAGGTACAGGACCGTTTACGGCTACGTATCCCTCGGCTGCAGTCTCTACTGCACTGAGACCAGGAGCTCCAGGATGTCCAGCCTCCGTTCACAGTGTGTCCGGAGATCTTACCCGACCGCAGCAGATCTCCTGGGGGAGAGAGAGAGAGAGAGAGGGTCAGACGGGAGTCAGGCTGGTTGGGACAGATGGACTTACTTACTGAGAATTAATCAATAAAGAATATGCTAAGAATTGATAATATAGGACCAAGAGTTTTTGGTGAGTCATTGCTGATTCACTGGAGCAAAACATCTACTGTACATGACTCTAAGGAGGTAGCTACATCACCTTTTGGTTGTAAGCTACAAGAATAAGAGATGAACTGTGAATGTAAAGTGCCTGACTTTCACTGGAGCTTGAAGTAAATCAGCTACAAACAGTCTCCGGCAGCATCGTTCTAGAAGTGCCACTGCCAGACTCAAGGTCAAACAACATCCTCTGTAACCTAAAGTATACACACTCTATGTTTCTGTCTCTCTCGTGCAGGCATACACACTGTCAGACTGAGAGCTACTGGGATCCTCTAATTCAACTCTACGAGCGTTTGACTAATCTATGATCACTAATCTGAAATGAGTCAACGGAGAAATATTATTGAAATATGAAACTGTAATTTTTATTAAGCTTCAATTACGTTGTTCATTCATCATCAGAGGCTGTGAAAATGTCCATTTCAGAGTGAATCTGGTTGGCTGGCCTCTGTGCGAGACAGAGGAGTGAGATCCTGTCTTTGTGTGAATGATAACCACTTGAAACTAAATTACAGCGTTAACTTCCAAACACTCCAGTGATGATTCACTCAATCAACCCACCCTACTATTATCAGCCATCTGAACAGACAACAATAAAATCATTTCTCTCTCTATCTCTTTTCTCTCTCTCTGTGATCTCCCTTTGTCTCTCTATCTCGACGTCTTGGAAATTTCCTTTACCTCGATCTACCCTGCACCTTAGAGACTTCTGACCTATGTACATAGAGTCATGGAACACTGGTCACTTTAATAATGTTTACATCCTGTTTTACCCACTTTATATGTATATACTGTATTCTAGTCATGACTCATCCTATATAACTACTGCTGTACACACCTTTTCTATTCATATACTGTCCATAATGTTTATACACAACATTCACATACATACACATATATTTATTTATATTCTGGACTCTTATTACTCATTCTGTTATATCTTCATTTTTTAATGTTTTATTTTTTTAACTTTTGGATTATGTGTGTATTTTTATGTTATTGTGTTGCTAGATAATGCTGCACTTTGGGGCTAAAAACACAAGTATTAGATATTGCTGCTCTATTGGAGCTTAAAACATAAGCATTAGATATTGCTGCTCTATTGGAGCTTAAAACATAAGTATTAGATATTGCTGCTCTATTGGAGCTTAAAACATAAGTATTAGATATTGCTGCTCTGGGCTTCCCGAGTGGCGCAGCGGTCTAAGGCACTGCATCGCAGTGTTGTGGCGTCACTACAGCCTAGGGTACGATCCCAGGCTAGAAACATAAGTATTAGATATTGCTGCTCTGTTGGCACTAAAAACATAATCATTTCGCTGCACTGTTGTAGCTAAAAACATAATAATTTCGCTGCACTGTTGTAGCTAAAAACATAATCATTTCGCTGCACTGTTGGAGCTAAAAACAATAATTTCACCTGCGACAACATCAGCAAAACTTTGTACACGACCAATAAACTTTGATTTGAACTTTCACCCTTCTCTCTCTTTCTCAACCCCTCTTTCTTTCTCTGTCTATTGTTTCATTGAGCTCTCCATCCAGTTTCCTGCTGCTGGGTGTCTTTCTCGGTCTATTGTTTCATTGAGCTCTCCATCCAGTTTCCTGCTGCTGGGTGTTGTGGACTGTCCCTGCAGCCCTTTAGCAGAGAAAACAGTGCTAACCTATCACACGTAGAGTCCTGACCTCTTCATACCTACACACAACCTTGGGAGTCAACATGTCCACACACACACACACACACACACACACACACACACACACACACACACACACACACACACACACACACACACACACACACACACACACACTCTTTCTCTCTACCTCCCAGCCACTGAGTTGGCATGAGCTGACAGATCCTCTGAGGCCCCTGCTTTTTATTGATTTGGAACAGGCAGTGGCATGGACAGCTCTGCCTGCCACGGTGACCTGCACTCTTTATTAAGCCCTCTGCTCAGACTGGTAGATGTACAGTGTATTCGAAAAGAATTCAGACCCCTTGACCATTTCCACGTTTTGTTACGGTACAGCCTTATTCTAAAATGGATTAAATTGTTGTTGTTTTTCTTCATCAAGCTACACACAATACCACATAATGACAAAGCAAAAACAGGTTTTTAGATTTTTGAAAATATTTATTAAAATAAAAAAACGGAAATATCTAATTTACATCTAAGTATTCAGACCCTTTACTCAGTACTTTTGGCAGCGATTACAGCCTTGAGTCTTCTTGGTTATGACGCTACAAGCTATTTGGGGGAGTTTCTCCCATACTTCTCTGCAGATCCTCTCAAGCTCTGTCAGGTTGGATGGGGAGCGTCACTGCACAGCTATTTTCAGATCTCGATCGAGTTCAAGTCCGGGTTCTGGCTGGGCCACTCAAGGACACTCAGAGACTTGTCCCAAAGCCACTCCTGCATTGTCTTGGCTGTGTGCTTAGAGTCATTGTCCTGTTGGAAGGTGAACCTTCGCACCAGTCTGAAGTCCTGAGCGCTCTGGAGCAGGTTTTCATCAAGGATCTCTCTGTAATTTGCGCCGTTCATCTTTCCCACGATACTGGCTAGTCTCCCAGTCCCTGCCGCTGATGCTGCCACCACCATGCTTCACCGTAGGGATGGGGCCAGGTTTCCTCCAGACGTGACACTTGACATTCAGGCAAAATAGTTAAATCTTGGTTTCATCAGACCAGAGAATTTTGTTTCTCGTGATCTGAGTCCTTTAGGTGCCTTTTGGCAAACTCCAAGTGGGCTGTCATGTGCCTTTTAATGAGGAGTTTTTTTTCCGTCTGGCCACTCTACCATAAAGGCCTGATTGGTGGAGTGATGCAGGGATGGTTGTCCTTCTGGAAGGTTCTCCCATCTCCACAGAGGAACTCTGGAGCTCTGTCAGAGTGACCATCGGGATCTTGGTCACCTCCCTGACCAAGGCCCTTCTCCCCCGATTGCTCAGTTTGGCCGGGTGGCCAGCTCTAGGAAGAGTCTTGGTGGTTCCAAACTTCTTCCATTTAAGAATGATGGAGGCCACTGTGTTCTTGGGGACCTTCAATGCAACAGACATTTTTTGGTACCCTTCCCCAGATCTGTGCCTTGACACAAAGTCTCTGAGCTCTACGAACAATTCCTTCGACCCAAAGGCTTGGTTTTTGCTCTGACATGCACTGTCAACTGTGGGACCTTTTTATATAGACAGGTGTGTGCCTATCCAAATAATTTCCAATCAATTGAATTTACCACAGGTGGACTCCAATCAAGTTGTAGAAACATCTCAAGGATGATCAATGGAAAGAGGATATACCTGAGCTCAATTTCGAGTCTCATAGCAAAGGGTCTGAATACTTATGTAAAAAAGGTTTTTCTGTTTTCGCTTTGTCATTATGGGGCATTGTGTGTAGAAATAATTTGATCCGTTTTAGAATAAGGCTGTAATGAAACAAAATGTGGAAAAAGTCCAGGGGTCTGACTACTTTCCGAATGCACTGTACACTACACACTCACACTCCTCCACAATTGGCTGTTTCATAGTCTTCTCACTCCTCCAAACACACTGCTTCATAGTCTTCTCACTCCTCCAAACACACTGCTTCATAGTCTTCTCACTCCTCCAAACACACTGCTTCATAGTCTTCTCACTCCTCCAAACACACTGTTACATAGTCTTCTCACTCCTCCAAACACACTGCTTCATAGTCTTCTCACTCCTCCAAACACACTGTTACATAGTCTTCTCACTCCTCCAAACACACTGTTTCATAGTCTTCTCATTCCTCCAAACACACTGCTTCATAGTCTTCTCACTCCTCCAAACACACTGCTTCATAGTCTTCTCACTCCTCCTCCACAATGGGCTGTTTCGTAGTCTTCTCACTCCTCCAAACACACTGTTACATAGTCTTCTCACTCCTCCTCCACAATGGGCTGTTTCATAGTCTTCTCACTCCTCCAAACACACTGCTTCATAGTCTTCTCACTCCTCCAAACACACTGTTACATAGTCTTCTCACTCCTCCAAACACACTGCTTCATAGTCTTCTCACTCCTCCAAACACACTGTTACATAGTCTTCTCACTCCTCCAAACACACTGTTTCATAGTCTTCTCATTCCTCCAAACACACTGCTTCATAGTCTTCTCACTCCTCCAAACACACTGCTTCATAGTCTTCTCACTCCTCCTCCACAATGGGCTGTTTCATAGTCTTCTCACTCCTCCAAACACACTGTTACATAGTCTTCTCACTCCTCCTCCACAATGGGCTGTTTCATAGTCTTCTCACTCCTCCAAACACACTGCTTCATAGTCTTCTCACTCCTCCAAACACACTGTTTCATAGTCTTCTCACTCCTCCAAACACACTGTTTCATAGTATTCTCACTCCTCCAAACACACTGCTTCATAGTCTTCTCACTCCTCCTCCACAATGGGCTGTTTCATAGTCTTCTCACTCCTCCAAACACACTGCTTCATAGTCTTCTCACTCCTCCTCCACAATGGGCTGTTTCATAGTCTTCTCACTCCTCCAAACACACTGTTACATAGTCTTCTCACTCCTCCAAACACAATGGACTGTTGAATAGTCTTCTCACTCCTCCACAATGGGCTGTTTCATAGTCTTCTCACTCCTCCAAACACACTGATTCATAGTCTTCTCACTCCTCCTCCACAATGGGCTGTTTCATAGTCTTCTCACTCCTCCAAACACACTGTTACATAGTCTTCTCACTCCTCCAAACACAATGGACTGTTGAATAGTCTTCTCACTCCTCCATAATGGACTGTTTCATAGTCTTCTCACTTCTCCAAACACAATGGACTGTTTCATATTCTCACTCCTCCAAACACACTGTTTCATAGTCTTCTCACTCCTCCAAACACACTGTTTCATAGTCTTCTCAATCCTCCAAACACACTGTTTCATAGTCTTCTCATTCCTCCAAACACACTGTTTCATAGTCTTCTCACTCCTCCTCCACAATGGACTGTTTCATAGTCTTCTCACTCCTCCGAACACAATGGACTGTTTCATGATCTTACCCAAAGTACAGAGTTAGAAACAAGAAATGTAATACAATGAATTCTAGCCCCCAAACGTCGATGTCCACGCCCCGCTAAAATCTAATTAGCATAATAAAAAAAGCCCCATAAAAATCTGTCCGTTTAAGCTAGAGATATGCGGTGAAAGGTGACAGAGCTAGAGCGGTCTTTGTCAGACCTTGAGACATCCCGAAAATCGGTCTTCTCACAAAATGGTTTGGCCTACAAACTATTATGACCCCTCTATGGAAAGATGAGACTCTCACGAACACGATGGTGTTATTTTCTCTACGACCCCCACAAGCGTCCCAACAGTTTGGGCTACACACTAATATGACCCCTATGTGGAAAGGTAGGTGTTTT